TTCTCTTTGAAATATGGAGCTTGAAAATGTGAGTCAGTCAATGAAGTTGTAAGGATGTTTCATGAAAAAAAATCAGGCATTGTTTTCAGCTTTCCTATAAAATTCTAAGAGTATTCGCCATGGAAAAATATTTCTGGAGACATTTACATGATAAATTCTTGGTATGGATTCATTTTAGAAATAAAAATTAGTTACCATTTAAGTGACCTGGTAGACTTTTAAACCTACCCGTGAAAGAAATAGAACTTAGTGACAATTCACATAAACAAATGGTCTATCTTTTTGTTATCCTCTGTCACTTTATTGCATGTAAAGTAGCATGCTGTATTAGAAAACCATGTGATGAATATATTTTCCTTGACTTTTGTATTTTTCTTGCCTTCATATATATCAGTGAATAATTCTGGTAATATGAACTTTTGATGAATCATTTAAAAATCACTTTATACTCATGTTCATAGAAGCATTATTCATAATAGCCAAAAGGTGGAAGCAACCCACATATTCATAGACAGATGACTGGATTAACAAAATGTGGTGTTTCCATACAATGGAATATTATTCAGCCTTAAAAAGAAAGAAAATTCTGACACATGCTATAACATGAATAACCTAGAAGACATTATGCTAAGTGAAATAAGCCAATCACAAGGAGACAAATACTGTATGATTCCACTTACGTGAGGTACTTGGAGTAGTTGAAATCATAGAAGAAGAAAATAGAATGGTGGTTGCCAGGGACTGGGAAAGGAGGAAATGGAGAGTTGTTTAATGGGGTATAGAGTTTTAGTTTTGCAAGAAAAAAAATGTTCTGGAGTTTGTTTGCACAACAGTGTGACCATACTTAACGCTACTGAACTGTACACTTAAAAATGGTTAAGATGGCAAATTTTATATTATGTTTATTTTACCACAATTAAAAATTAAGAAAAATCAATTTAAAGATAAACAGATGCAACTAATTTTGTCTAGTAGAGTAGTCTAGCAAGGCATGGAGAAGTCTGGAAGTTTGAGAGACTTTTCCTAAGAATGTATTATCTCATTACCTAAGTATTTAAGTTCAGGAATATTCTGCTGGTTTAAACTGCAAAGAGTGTGAAGAGGGAGACAATCATTTTGGTAATTATTGTCTCCTCTTAGGGTTGTAAAGTTAAAGCTTTCTATTTCGAGATAAAAGTTTTCTTTTAAATACCATTTGACCATTTATTTGTATTGATAGAATTTTTTTGTGTATATTATGTAAACTTAATCTAATCTAGAGATTATAAGGCTAGGCAAATATAACTGGCCAAGTTAGGAGGAAGGTACAGATGCAGGTTGGAAAGTGTCAGTCTACCCCCAACAGAAGTGTGAGAATGTGAGAGCAGCCATGAATTTGCCTAAGAGAGAAGAGCCAAACCACATGCTTAAAATGATTCCTGTTCATTTTTCCCATTGATGAAATTATCTTATAACATTAGTTTAAGTTTACCAAAGCTAGGTTATCATTTCCAACTTTAATTGGCAACTGAGTTCTGAGATAAGAGTGAAGAGAAAATGTGATTAAATATGCTTGTCCCTCCACACCACCAGCTTTTGTCTGCAGTATGTTTAGAAGGGTTCTTAAAAAACAAAAACAATTACAACAAAACCCCGTTTTTTGTGCATTAGTTATACCGTTTAGTTAAACACTATGCACAACTTATTTTCATCAAATTATTAATAAATGCAGAGGTGAGCAGAGTACCTGATTAATCTTGAACAGAGATTTTATCTTATTTATCATTGTGACTCCATTACATTGTAAGGTGCCAGGCATATAAAAAATGCTATTAATGTTTAAATGAATGAATGAATGAATATGTACCGATTTGTGAAGTGGTATAAATACTGTTTTCATCTGTTTCCATTACATTGTAGGGTGCCAGGCATATAAAAAATGCTATTAATGTTTAAATGAATGAATGAATGAATGAATATGTACCGATTTGTGAAGTGGTATAAATACTGTTTTCATCTGTAAATCTTTCTCTTATGAATATAATACTTTGTTTGCTTTCTCTACATATTTGACTCCTTTCTTTTAAAAGCTTACTAAACATTATTTTAAGTCATTTTATTTTTTAGTAGGATCTTATAGCGAATAAATAAAGGTGTATTTATTAAACATTTATATAAAGCTTCATGTGTGCCTGGTGCTGTTCTTAAACCATTTAATCCTCATAAAAACTAGATGAGGTGCTTACTGCTATTCTATTTACATGAGGAAACTGAGGCACAGAGAAGTTGGGTAGCTTACTCAAGGTTATACAGCTAGTAAGTGTTACAGCAGGAATTTGATAACCACTATACTAGGCAGACTCCTATTTTAAACAAAACCAGCTCTAAAAATTATTTCCATCTCCAGAAGACTGACCTTACCAGTGGGGCATATGTTATTATTTACAGTGAATTTTGTTATAATAGAAATTTTTAACAGTAATATTTACCATACTCCCCTTTTATCATCAAGCTATTTAGTGAGAATGCTGTTTTATTTAAAAAGCTGTATTTATTGTAAGCATATATGATATCTGTATCCTAGTAGTTATATATAAATATTGATATTGGTAAAATTTGGCATTATTTCAAAATGTAAGAATAGTGTATGTATGTTAGACTGTTGGGGTGCTTTAATTTTCTGTCGGTATCGGTAGTGTTCTTCCTGTGTGAAACATTTTTCATCAGCACCGCACTCTCCCGAGTGAGCCACAGGCCGGCCCATGTGTGAAACATTTTTGAAGTATCAGAAGAGAAATGGGAAATGGGATCCAGAGGTACTGGATTTTTAGACGTATTGCTATTATTTTTGGCGTTGTGCTAGGTACCTAATGAATTTTGAACCTAATAATGCCCTTGGTCTACTAATTATTTTGGTACCTGAGGAATTGGAGTATTGTTGTTCCTTGCCCAATCCTGTAGTCCAGAAAAGAGGTCTGAAGATTCAAACTCTAGTATACTTTAAGTTTATATTTGGTGTTTTATAAATCAAGGCACTCAAGTTCACATTTTATTTGCTGCTTTCTTTATATGCAGCTCTTCTTTAAAGCCTTATGGGATATTTGGGATTGGTACTTTGGCTGTTTAAAAGTCCCCAGATACCCTAATGAAAAAAATGAAATGTCTGAATTCACTGAGGCATCTGTTAAACAAAACCTGTCATCTTTAAAAAATTAAAAAGAATGATCTGGTGTGTTCTGTAACTGCAGCAGAAGGGTTTAAATATGGACAGAGTACCATTTGTCCTTTCAGGCATTACTGTTTTAGAGGGAGATAATAAATATACTTTCTTTTTATATCTTCCTTCTTTCTTCAAGTAACTAGTACTTTTACAAATGTATTATCTCACAGAAATTGCTTTATGTTAATCACTAAAACAGCAACTAATAGTGGCAGTATTCTATATATATATTAATATCTTCCAAAATATGTTCCATGGGACTCTAGCCTTGGGAGAAGCCTTGCTAAAATACGGCTTTGTAATCATAAACTGAGGAATGATTGCATAAATACTACCCCTCTCAACATACAGACATGCGTATGTCAACACACATGTGTTGGAGAGTCATATATATTAATTTATTAATGGTACTAAGAAGTCCTGTAGTAATAAAAACTGGTTTAGTTTTGTTTAGCTCAAAATTTCCCCCATTTATTTGGCCTTAGAACTTTTTTTCTCTTGATCCTTTGGTTGATACTCTTTGGGCTCCACAGACTACCCTTTGGGAAATAATGCTACATACTATAACAGTGTAACAGTAAGTCTATTTTGAGGTGGTTTCAGAATAATAGCCCATCAAAAATATACCATTATTAGTCATTTGTGGTTAATAAGTTGATTTTAAAGAATGGCATTTAGAAATTGTTAGAAATTTGCATTGTAATGAATCTTCTTTTAATTTATATACCACAGAAGCCTGCATTTATAGACACATTGCTTACAAAGGACTTTTAATTTCTGTACTTGATATATGATGATAGAATGGCAAACGTCATTAATTCTAACTAATCAGGAAAGCTGTATGAATACAGGATAGTGTTAAAAAAAAACTCAGAATGATTTTTAAGGAAGTGCAATTTATCACTGTAAATACTGCATCTAAAATTATACTAAAAAAATAAACCCAAGTGGAATATTCTGGATGGGAATTCTTGAAAGTAGAAATAACTATGACTTATGATTAGTTCAGCTGCAAATATATAGGTACTTCTGAAATATTTGAGATTATTTTAAAACATTTCTTTCAAAAGTTTAAGCTTTTATTACATGAATCATATTTACAGTATTTGATTGCTAAACCATTTCTTTATAGGTTACTCTATTGCAAATTCTTCATATAGGATGTCTTATAAAATTTTAGGTATTTAGTGATCTGTATCCTAACTGAGAAGAGAATGAAACATGGAAATAAAGCAGAGGAGAGATCTTCTCTAATGATGAAGGGGGGAAATCTCTTTTTGAGCAGTGATAAAAATAACAAACAAGAACCAAAGACTTGACTATTATGGCTGAAAGGAGTGGTTAATAACAACCAGGAGCAAAGGCATCTGCTTGTTGAGTTCTGTAAAAGTCTGGATAGAATGCCAAGACATGTTAAAATCACAGTAGCAATCAAAGGACAAGAAAGAGAAAAATAAAAAGGTGCTGGAAGAGAAAGACTGACAGTAGTGGTTGTAGCAACCAAGATGGTTAGATGTCGGGGAGGCTAGAAGCAGATGCTATTCCACAGAAAAGTCAGCATTAAAAGAAGGAAAAACAGCTAAAGTAAATAAGTCGTGTCACTATCGTGGTTATCACTGGAGATATTGGTATATCACACATTTGTTGAAGTGTGGTATTGCGGGTAGGAATAGCACCCATGGTATTGCAATAGCCCTTAAAGTACTACCTTTTTACATGCTAAAAAGGATTCATCTCTAGAATCCAGAATAGCTCATTCTCCAGTCTTTGGTTTTGTATGTTTAAAATAGCATTTAGGGCTGGCTGGTTAGCTCATTCGGTAGAGCGTGGTGCTGACAACGCCAAGGTCAAGGGTTCGAATCCTCTTACTGGCCAGCTGCCAAAAAAATAGCATTTACATATTTGTTTCCTAAAATCCCATCATATCAGTGGTTCTTACCAGACTTTAATAGACCTGATAGGTTGAGATTCCTCCCACCTCCTTTTTGCTTCCTTTGGTATTTTTTATTCCTTTGTGTGTAAGAAAGCATGGTAAAGCATAGTAGTATCATCTCATTTTATAGGAATGGGAAAATCAATGTGAAGGTTAAGTGGCTTGTGCGAGGAATGAAAGGAAGGAGGCTTTCAAGTGTAGCTAGGAAACCAGGAGTTTGGTATTTTTATACGGAAAAATATAATGGCTAATCTAGCAGGCTTTCTGAATTGAACTTTTATGCTTGATTGTATACTTAAGTATTAAATTTTTCAGGTATTATATTTAGGACTGAGTAATCTGACTTTAGTTATATAATGGATAGCTGATCCAGACTTTCCTTTTAAGAAAATCCTTGATGTATTAGACTGTTAAAACAAATTCTAACATTTGGTGTTCATTAGTGTTGTAACCAAAACAAAAACATTTTAATGGTTGATCCCAGAGTATTTCGAAGGTAGTGTAACTTTGCTGGGAAGGTATTTAAACTTCAGTATCAATTGCAAATAGGCTGTGAGCCAATTTTCAAAGCTGTTTCTAAGTAAGACATTGAGTTTTCTGAATGCAAAAAATACATTATGTGGCACAATGCCATGTGGCAAGGAAACAGAATGAAACAATTACAGTGGGATTTGTATCGATGATTGTATTTCTAAGTGAGTAGTTTAAGATATTGTGAAGTAGGGTTTAGAATAACTCCCCAGCGTGTTCAACAGTTGGCTTTATTTTAATTGTAGAACATGAGAGAAGTATTTTGAATATAGAAAAGGATGGGAATTGCTGGACAACAATGAGAACTTCAAACTCAACATTTAGAGTTTAGCTAATTGACTTGACTAAAAATGGGATGCTTCAACTTTTTGACTGTAAATTTTAAGAAAATAGGTAATTATCATTTATCTATAAAGGAAAAATGGATTTTTATAATCCAGTGATTAAACAGGTAGACAGTCTACTTAAGATTCCAAATTGTTTGTTTTGGGCAGTGCAAAAGAGTTTAGCAAAAATGATATTGCTTTTAAAGGAAATTTAGACTAATTTATTTTGCTTGGGGTCAATACTAAAGAAAGGCATAGTGAAATATTACTAATGTTATATGTGTGCATTCATAATTGATTCTTCAGTTCGTTAACCTAAAGCAAAAAAAAAAGAAGTGGAAGATAGAATAATTAGATTGATAGTAAATGTAATCTAATGGCTTATATGTTTGTTCTACATTTAACCAATAGATGCTTTTGCTTGCATGGACTCTAAAAAAGAAATCTCAGGGTAAGTATTTTTTATTCAAATTTGTTTTGATTATATAATTTTTCAATTTAAGATAAAAGACACACAAATATTAAATCTGTTTTCAACAGTTATTTTTGAACATTTTGTAGATTGCAATGCAATTCATATTAGCACAATAAACATTTAACATGGTGCTTTATGAGTTTCTGGATATTTGAACAATATGATTAGGTTGTTCTGAATTATTTTCATTATGACTGTGAACTGATGATTGTGTGTGTGCGTATTTGTGTGTTTTGGCTCAGCAAGACAGTTTAATGCCAGTTCTATCATAGGATAATAATTTTTAGGCTTTACTGTTTCTTTCCCTTCTATGATATATAACTTTCTGGGTGGAAATATACTTTGTCGTGTAATACTTGGAAATGTATTAATCACTTGACATAATTCAGTATTCAGAAAAATTCACAGTAAATCTGAATTTTCAGCAACTAGTCAATGTCCTTTATGAAATATCTGCTATTTTAAAAATAAGAACTTAAGTAAAGTGTATTTGTCAGGTTTAATTTATAGCATGTTTTTTTTTTTTTTTTTTTGTCTTTTTCCGTGTCCGGCAAAGGATTGCAACCCTCAGTGTTGCCCCCGTACCGGACCGGGGACCGGCAACGGGATCACAGCCTTCGGTGTTGCTCCCGCGCCTCGCTCAGCCAGTGAGCGGGAACCGGTCTGTATGTGGGATCCGAACCCTCGGGCGGGAGCACCACCGTGCTTCCCAAGCGGCGCACTATCCAGTGCACCACCGGGCCGGCCCTATATCATGTTTTGAAGATACATTCTAAATGTTGGTTTTCTATATTTTTAATTTGTAATTTTGAAAAAAATCTAATTCAGTTAAAAAAGAAAATATATTTTTTAGTTTATTAACTTGTTTTATTGTTTATTTTGGTTTATTATTTTTCCTAGGTTCATATTATGGAATCTTGCTCATAGAATAAAATGCCATTAGATCTAAATAGGTTTGAGTAGTTTTTTAAATCATTCCAGTGATATTTCTATAATTTTGTTCTGTTTTTTCCTTGAGAGTGTTGCCTTCTGATTTTTTTCTGATTATGCCATCCAGTATGGTTTGTATGTAGAATAAAAGCTGTGGATGTTCATTAGGAAGAAGAAAGTTAGAAGGTAGATTTGTTTGGATAGCATTTTCAGTGATGTAAACAGTGACATACTATAGCTAATAAAATCAAGATGTCATTGTTAACGATGATGTTTATTTACTGAGTACCTGGTCAGTGTAAATCTCGGGAATATAGCAGTAAGAAAAACAGAAAAAGCCTCTGTTCTCATGGAGCTCACATTCAAGCAGGGGAGGTAGACAAGGAGGGAGAGGGAGAGAGGGAATGAGAATGAGTTAAAAAAGGGTGATGTAAAAAAAAATGAGCTATTCCTTTTAAGTAGGTGCTTAGGGAAGACCTCTGAGGAACTGACTTTTTAAATGGAGACCTGAATGACAAGAAGAGCTTAGCCAAGTAGAACTCAGAGGAAAGAGGCTTGCGGGACCTAACAAAGGCCAGTGTAGCTAGAACATAGAGGGTAAAGGGGATAGGTGGCCAGGGGCTAGGTCCTATAGGTCTGAGGTAGAGTTTGGATTTCAGGTTTGATGAAAGGCTGTTGGATGTTTTGCTTATTTGCTTGTTTATTTTATTAAGAGAGTGATATCCACTTTGGGTTTTTAAAAGATTACTCTGGCTTCTGTGAGGATTATACAGTGTAGATAGTTCCATATCAGTGTATAGAGCTGCTTGGCATTCCATTGTATGTATGGATGGTAATTTATTTACTTAGTCCCCTTTGATGGACTTTTAGATTGTTTTCCTGTTTTTGTATTTTGTGGATAATACTTCAGTGAAAATCTCTGCATACAAATCTTGTTTAGAATTTTTTAAAAAATAAATTTGAAGAATGTTGAAGCATGATGACTCTTATAAGGGAGGACTAGTGATACACATCTAAACTTTGTACTGCCAAAAAAAATTTTGCAGAAGGCCAAATACTTTCACTGCGAACAGTGTGGGGTAAGGCTATGGGAAGTGTGATCTCAGTAACCAGTGCTGAATGAACATTTTTGAGCCTCTCAATTTTAGTTTCTTTTTAAGTCAACTTTATTGGGGTATAACTTGTGTAATAAAATGTACCCATTTTAAGTGTACAGTTTTAGGCATTTTGACAAATCTGTATAGCCATGTAACCACCACTGCAGTCAAGACACAGAACATTTCCGTCACCCAAAAAGTTCCCTTGTGCCCCTGTGCTCCCTAGTCTGCCTTCCTCACACCTGTACCAATCACTGATCTTCTGTCACTACAGATTAGTTTTAATGCAAATGGCATTACACAGTATGTCTTCTTTTGTGTCTGGCTCCTTTTGCAAAGTGTGATGTTTCTGAGATTCATTCATGTTGTATGTATCAATAGTTTGTTCCTTTTTATTGCTGAGTAGTATTTCATTGTACAGATATACAACAGTTCATTTCTCCAGTCATCCATTGATGGATTTTGGGTTATTTTCAGTTTTTTGGCTATTGTGAATAAACCTCCTATGAACATTTGTGTACGAGTTTTTGTGTGGAAATATGTTTTCCTATCTCTTGGATTCATACTTAAGAGTGGAATTTCCGGGCTGTATGGTGAGTTTATGTTTAATTTTATGAGAAACTGCCAGTTTTCAGAGTTGTACTTTTTCACATTCCCATCAACAATGTATGAAAGTTTCAGTTGCTCTACATCTTTATCAACACTTGATATTGTTAGTCTTTTTAATTTTAGCCATTCTGGTGGGTGTGTAGTGGTATTTCATTTGGTTTGAATTTGTATATTTTCAGGTGTTTATTTGCCATCTGTATTAGTCAGTTTTCTGTTGCTGGTAACAGAATACCTGAAACTGGGTGATTGATGAAGAAACAAAATTTATGTCTTACCGTTTTGGAGTTTGGAAAGTCCAAGGTCCAGGGAACATAGCTGGTGAAGGCCCTCTTGGTTGGAACTCTCTACAGAGTCCTGTGACAATGCAGGCAATCACATGGCAAGAATGGCGAGAGCATTTTTATGTGCTCACTTGCTCTCTTTATAAAGCCACCAGTTACTCCCTGATAACCCATTAAACCATTAATCCATTAATCTATGAGTAGATTAATCCATTCATGAGGGAAGGCATAGTTCTACAATTCAATCACCTCTTAAAGTTCCCTCCCTTCAAGTACCATATTGGGGATTAAGTTCCATGTGAACTTGGAGGGGACAACCATTCAGACCATAGCACTATCCATATAGCATCTTTTGTGGAGTGTTTATTCAAATCTTTTGCCTTTATTTTTGTTTATTTTTTATTACTTTAAATTGACATATAGTAATTGTACATATTTATAGGTTACACTGTGATATTTTAATATCTGTACACAATGTGTAATGATCCAATCCAATTAGAATATTCATCACCTTAAATAATGATCATTTCTTTGTTTTGGGAACATTCAAAATCCCCTCTTCTAGCTATTTGAAAATGTAGAGTAAATTATGAACTATATTCACTCTACAGTGCGATAGAACAATAGAACTTACTCCTCCTATCTACCTGTAATTTTTTGTCCATTATCCAACCCCTCCCCTTCCCTCCTTCC